CCTCCTCCTGCAGGGGGGACTCCGGGGGAGGGGGCGCCGAGCCCGCGGCGCGCAGTGTCCCGTGAACTGTGAGTACTGCGACTGCACGGCGGCCAGCGAGCGGGCGATTAGCACCCATTGCATGAATTATGAAACAATAACTTTCGGAAGAAGCTGGAGGAAAAAAAGAAAAGAAGAAGGAGGAGGATCTGTCGCTGGTTTCCCCCTGGCCGACTCTCCACGCTGCTCCTGCCCCCTCCCTTCTCTCCCACTCGCTTCTTCCTCTCCCGGAGAGGGGAGAGGGCTGGGAGGAGGGCTGGCGACCGGCCCCGGAGGAGGGGGGGCGCCGAGGGGGCTGTGATCAGAAGGAGCAGTAGCAGCAGCAGCACGAGAAGATGCTGAGGATGCGGACCACGGGGTGGGCGCGCGCCTGGTGCCTGGGCTGCTGCCTCCTCTTGCCGCTCTCGCTCAGCCTGGCGGCCGCCAAGCAGCTCCTCCGGTACCGGCTGGCCGAGGAGGGCCCCGCGGACGTCCGCCTCGGCAACGTGGCCTCGGACCTGGGCATCGTGACGGGCTCGGGCGAGGTGACTTTCAGCCTGGAGTCGGGCTCCGAGTACCTGAAGATCGACAACCTCACGGGCGAGCTGAGCACGAGCGAGCGGCGCATTGACCGCGAGAAGCTGCCCCAGTGTCAGATGATCTTCGACGAGAACGAGTGCTTCCTGGACTTCGAGGTGTCGGTGATCGGGCCCTCGCAGAGCTGGGTGGACCTGTTCGAGGGTCGCGTCATCGTGCTGGACATCAACGACAACACGCCCACCTTCCCGTCGCCCGTGCTCACCCTCACGGTGGAGGAGAACCGGCCGGTGGGCACCCTGTACCTGCTGCCCACCGCCACCGACCGCGACTTCGGTCGCAACGGCATCGAGCGCTACTTATGATTAATGTAAAACTGCTTTGAATATGATTACACTATACTATTATGGCAGTATTAATATTGCATTCCTTACAATTCAGGTATTTTCCTTGTCATTGCATAAAATTGCTTTTTAATATTGGTGCTTTGTTTGGCCATTGCTCACTTCATGCAATATTATAATCCCATTTTTGTATGCGTTGACAGTATTTATAAACTTGTTAGAGAATGTTTTATTTTGTTGTTTTCGCACTATTTTCTTAGCCTGGCACCTAGTTAGTGCCATTTGAATATGCTGATATTATAAATAATGATAAGATGATAATACTTACTGCTTAGGTTTGAATGTTTATACCTCCCCCAAACTGACATGTGGAAATTCTAATGTTTAGAGAAATGTGATA